ACTGCACTCCAGTCTGGGCGACAGAGTGAGACCCCAACTCAAAAAAAAAAAAAAAGATATCAAAGAGAGGTATGAGTTGTGTAGTGGTCATTCCAAGAGAAGGGCACAACCAATTAACGTCACCTAACAACTTTTGGAAATCATTCAAGGTGGTTAAAGGATCAGTTCTGATTTGGGGTTTCTGCATCCAGACTTTGCGCCCATTTATAACTCTCCCAAGCTATTCATAGGGAGCTGCCCATTGCACTTTCTCTGGAGCAATAATGAGACCAGCATTATGGAGAGAATTTCATAGTTTTAAAAATATCTACTGCAATTGTTCTTCATTAGGATGAGCAACAAGAATATCATCCATGTAATGGATGATACAAGCCTTGGGAAAATATGATCGAACAGGTTGCAAGGCTCTGGCCACAAAAGTCTGACACAAGGTGGGGCTATTGGTCATGCCTTGAGGCAGCACCTTCCATTGAAATCTTTGGGCAATGAGAAAGCAAAGCACTTTTGATCCTTGCAAAAAAGTGGAATAGTAAAAAAGCAATCTTTAAGATCAATAATAAAAAGAAAATAGTCATCTGGAATGGCTACAGAAGAGGGCAGACCAGGTTGTAGTGGCCCCACAATTTCCATAGAGCGATTAACAGTCCTCAAATCCTGCAGTAAATGCCACTTTCCTGATTTTTTCTTAATCACAAAAATAGGAGTGTTCCAAGGACTATTTGAATGCTCAATGTGACCAGCCGCAAGCTGCTCCTGAACAAGCACAGCGGCCACTGTAAGCTTTTCCTCAGAAAGTGGCCACTGGGCATTCCCTATTGAAATGACCCATTTGGGCTGGGCTCAGTGGCTCAGCCTGTAATCCTGCGCCTTGGGAGGTTGAGGTGAGTGGATTGCCTGAGCCCATGGGTTCGAGACCCACCTGGGCAACTTGGCAAGACCTCATCTCTACAATAAATCAAAAATTAGCCGGGCTTGGTAGTGCGTGCCTGTAGTTCCAGCTACTTGGAAGGCTGAGGTGGAAGGATCGCCAGAGCCCAGCAGGTTGAGGCTGTAGTGGCTGGGAGCAGCCACTGCACTCCAGTCTGGGTAACAGAGTAAGACTCCAACTCAAAAAAAAAAAAAAGAAATTACCCATTTGCCCACAGTTGAAGCAGGCATCTTGGGTTCCTGCATTGCCAGATTTCATTACATTAAAATTTTTGTGGGGAGGAGTACCTTGTAAAGCTGCAGCCATGGCCATTCTCTGCATATAGGCAGGCCCAATATCAGCACACAAGCGAATATAATCTGAAAGATCGCCTTTCTTATGATAGGGACAAATGGCCGCTTGGCAGGCAGAATTGGCATTCTCATAAGCCAGTTGTTTTACCAAAAGAGTCCCGGCTTCTCCATCTACCACCAATCGACCCACAACCTGCAACAATCTAGATGCAAAATTTTGGTAAGGCTTGTCAGGTCCCTGACATATTTTTGAAAGCTGCTCTGTCTTAACTCCAGCCGACGGTAGACGACGCCATGCTCCCAACGCTGCTCCACTGATCTGACCATACGCAGCTCAGGGATATAGGACTTGCGCCTCTTGGGAGAAGTATTCTCCTCCGCCCAAAACCATGTCCAAATGAACCATATCCAGATCACCTCCTCTATTTTTCTCAGCTTGCTCTTTGCATCTATCCCAGAAATCTGTCTTCTATAACAGATATTCCCCGCCCGACAAACATGCCTTTGCAACCACACACCAATTAGAGGGAGTCAAGGCTTCTTGTGAAATGGTTTCCAGCATAGCTAATGTGAACGGTGCTGTAGCTCCATATTGTGCCACAGCAGTTTTAAGGTCCTTCAGGGACTTAAGAGACAAAGTCTGATACTCTCGGATCTCCCTTCCCTGGTCATCAAAACCTGTAACTTTTACTGGATAAGCATGAAATCTTTCCAAATCATCTCCCCGCAGCAAGGTGAATTGAACAGCCTTCTGAATGGGGAGAGATGCACCAGACACCGAACATCGGGTGGCTGAGTTTGGACGGGAGCCAAAAAAGGAGAAGACCCAGATCCAGATTCCATGAGCAAAGTTCTGGTCGGTGCCAATTGAGGGGTTGCTGAGACCCAAGGGGGGGGTCTTGCCATCTCCAGGAGAGATCTCCTCCTTAGAAATTGGGGATGATACACCAGTATTGAGGACATTTCCTCCTTTGAATTCAAAGTGCGACACAAAGACACTTCCTTTTCTGAATTCAAAGTGTGACACACCGGTGCCTCCTCTTTTGAAACTGAGCATATTTTAGCTAAAATAGTAAATAAATCCATAAGTTGAGCAAAAGTATTAATAAATAAAGGAGGACCGGAGGGCTCAATCTCTTCCATAGGTGGGCTAGGAGGCTCAGGAAACTCGGTCCCAGAGCCTCAAGTGACCACAAATATCTCATCATTGTGATACCGAACAGCAACCTCATCCTGCTCCTATTGAAAATCTTCAGGAAGGTGACCCTCCTGATCGTCACGGGCACCTAAAGCAGGAGCTGAGGGGGAACACTGCAACGACGGAAGAATCTGCTCCGCTCTATGAAACTCATGAGAGGGGTCTAAGCAATCCCTCACTAGATTCCACAGAGAAAAGGCATCTACTGGCACGACTTCAGGACTGTGAGCTTGATAATAATCCTTCAAATGATTACCCACCTTTTCCCAAGTATTCAGGTTAACCGTCCCGGCAGGAAACGAGGGACATACTTCCTCTATAAACTGCAAAATTCTAGTTGTCTATCTGTAACCTTAGTTCCTCTAGCTTTCAGTGTAGATTTTAACATCTTCACAGAGAGTGCATTCCTTAGAATGTAAATGTCCCATGTTTTACTCCCAATGACTATTACTGTGCCCTCGATACTTACTCAAT